GAGGGAAACATCATTGCAGGCTCTGCTATCCTCCGTGCAGGCTCTGCCATCCTCCGTACAGGCCCTAGACCCGGGCTACTTGGACTGGTACCGGCCAACCGCTATCCTACCGCGACTGGGCCTCTAAAAATGCCAACTTTTTGTCTTCTTCTGCTCGGCCTCCAGTACCCGACACTCCTACCACTACTTGAATGGTACCGGCCTACCTGCTACTTGAGTGTTTTTTCCCGCTGTTCTAAGTGTTGCGGGCCTACCCCCGCTACTTGAGTGTTTTCCCCCCTGCAACCCTCAAAGTCATGGCCACAGGTAAGTACCTGCCCTGCGGGGCCCTTCAACCAACAAGTACCCTTGCGGGTCATACACACACTCAACCGACAAGCACTCAGGCAGGCATGCAAACCAGCAGGCAGGCACACACACAGACATGGAAATCACAGCAGAATCGGGAATTTCAGCAAGGCATTCATTCGAGCGGCAAATCCCAGAAATCAGCAGTGTTCTCAGTCTGTGTTTTTGGCGGGTCATTACACCTCTCTCTCTCATTTCCTCCTATCTTTCTCCTCCTCCCACTCCCTTCTCTCTCTCTCTCTCTCTCTCTCTCTCTCTCTCTCTCTCTCTCTCTCTCTCTCTCTCTCTTCCCCCCCCCCCCATTTGACATGCGCAGCCTTCCTGACAATATTGCTTATGCTTTTTCGCGACGATGGATTGGCCTGTTACACTGGCCAAATGTGCACATGGATGCAAGATTAAGTGGTGAGCACGTGAGATGGTCTGTTCGTTTCCCATATTATTATGGTATTGCCGTTCCACTCACAGGAACACACGCACACACAGACGCATACATACATACACATATACACACATACACACATACAGACGCACAGACATACACACACACACACACACACACACACACACACACACACACACACACATACAGGGTCGGAAGGGAGAGAAGCTGAGAGGGAGCAGGGGGATCGAAGGGACAGCCCTGGCATCCCCCAAGGGGAAGGCGAGTTTGGCGGACCCCCCATGAACCTTTACCCCTATCCCCCTTCCCTTTTTTGACGTTCCCTTTTTTTCGTTTTTGATTCTCTCCTTTGCCCCCCTTTTTTTCTTTTTTTCTTTTTTCTTTTTTCTTTCACCCCCTTTTTTTGATTCCCTCCTTTTTTAATAAGCGATCGGGCATCACTGTCCGACCGCACAACAGATCCCCCTCGAATCAACATGATCGAGGGAGATTCAGGGGAAATCACGAAGAGGCGAACGGACAGGTGATTGCCCTGCCGTCGCACGCCCTCGTTTCGGAGAGTCGAAACGACCAGGGAACGAGCTTCAAGTATACTAACACGTAGGGGACGGGTCCTTTACAGTACGTGTAGTCTTTTTGCGTTCTGCCCCGTTTTTTGTCTGTTTCTGCTGTTGTGTTTCGTTTTTTCTTTTTTCTTTCTTTTTTTCCCCTTTTTCCTTCTTTTTCCTTCTTTTCTTCTTTTGATGACGTAGGAAAATTGCCTCCACCAACTCCGGGAGTTACGCCAGAGGGAACACGGCCGTCGCCACTTGGGCAGCCGAGAATCCTCGGGAGATGACGAGTCTTGCTCATCCCAGTCCCTTCGGATGTGGGCGACGAAGGGGTACCCGCGGGTGGCAGGCGGCGTGGCACAGGGTACTGTTGAGAAACCGAGGAGGTTCGGATGCGACCCTTTTTGAAGCAGGGTAGTATCGGGGGGATAGCGTCTTTTGAGCAACTTTACGGTTGGCTCCGTTCGATTTTCGAATAGTTTGATTCCGGAGATTAGCGACGCAGAGGGGCGAGGCAGGAAGAAGCTTAAGACACGAAGTTCGATGTTTGCATGGGCTATCGATGTTTTCGGCGCGAATGTTTTTGGCGCCAATGCTTTCCGCGCAGCGGGAAGCGGGCAACTGGTGGGCGATACGAAGAGTGACCAGGCGGAGCGGGTTCTCGATGTTTCACAGCAGTATCATTGTTGGTTTAAATGGGCAGGGGGCACTGTCAGAACGCATCAATGGTTGTTTTGGTGTGATTGGGAGCGGGGATAATGGTGAACTCATTCGACCAGATGAGCAGGAGTGTTTGCATTAGTGTGCGGCGACGATCGGTCGGAATGGACTTCCTCGTGGATCTTGATCTCCTGGAAGAGCCGGCCAACGGCGAAGAAGTGGTATAACTCCAACAGTGTACTTTCTATGGGTGACCCGATCACACGCAGCAACGGCAGCAGCACACAGCCAGCATGGCCGATCATGATGAGATGCAGGGAGCTTGCGCAGCGTCCACATGCGCTTTCATAGCCTACCTAGCTCTGCTAACTTGTATAGCGCTCCTATGCTTCATTGCGGCCCTCCCGGTCCCGAGCTCTCACGCCACCCTACCCCCCCACGCAGCAACGGAGTGTACTCATGTCCTGTCTGCTGAACTAGCATCATCTTGCTCGCACGAACCCCCTCCCACCACCCCCCTGACACCCGTGCACTTGCCCCCCGCGCAAGATCCCCCCCTTGCAGGAGATGTGCAGAATCCCTCGCACCCCCTCCACCCTGGCAAGCAGGCAGCATCCCTGAGCAAGGCGCTTGTGACTTTTGTCACGATCGTCTTCGTCTTGGCTGTCTTACCGAATGCCGTCATTTGCGGCATAGCAGTATGGGCTTGCCAGTCGGAACACTTGTTGTTAGCACCGGCGAGGCAAGCCGCCGGGATGATTTACCTCACGATCAGCTATGCTTCGCTGTTCTTGACTTTGGCAGTGGGCGGAGTGATTGCGGCATATGTAAGCTTGTGACGAACCTTCGCAGAGAGAGAGACGGATGAGAGGCATCCCCCCTACCCCCCCATTCCCCTACCCCCTTCTGCGCGCACCGCGAGCTTCTTTTTACGCCTCCCTGTGTGAACCCCCTCGACTGTATGTGTGTGTAGTTCCCCCCCTTCTTCCACAATCCTTCCTTCCATCCTCCTCCCTTTTCCGACGACAAAGGAAAAGTTTTCCCTCTGATGAAGCCGCTTGTGGTAGGCGGCAGAAAGGCCTCAGGGAAGGTGTTGTATGGCTCGTTTTTTCGAGAAGCGTCTTTTCGTCATCTTTTTGTCAGGCTTTTCCAATCTTAACGAGTCAGTTGGTTTGGCTTGTGATGGATTTGATGAATAATGTAGCATCGGCTATGGATTGTGAATGATCTCTTGAAGTCACGCACAATTTTTTTCACGATCTTCTTCTCTCTTCTTCTTCTTCCGTCTACTTTCTTCCTTCTTCCTTCATTTTTTCCTTTTTTCTTTTCTCTTCGTTTTTCTTCTTCTTTTTTCATGAAAAGACGATGCGGTTGATGCCCCCCCATGCATGCGTGTGATCTTGCGTGTAATCACTTGCGTAGTTTATGAATGGGTTGCTAACAGCAGCATGATGCATTCTGTTGAGGTTTTGAGGATGGGTTGGAGTAATCCCCCGGAGGGCCTAAAAAGCCTGACGGGTACTATAACCCATTCACCGCTCTGAGAAACAGGATTCAACCCCTAGATGCTTGATACTACTCACGCCTCTATTGACCTTCTCCTAAAAAAGCCCTCGAGATGCGGTGGGCCACGTGCACCGTCATAGCAAGAGCGCTAGAGCGACAGCCATGGCAGGCCAACCCAGAAACCCTGCCTGGAAGGTCCTTTGCAATCGTGTGTCGGTCTCGGTCCATCTATGGGATTAGCACCATTTATAACGTTACACAGTAGCTTTCTGCGATTCTTTGCTCCGGGGGTGGGTTGGGGTATTGTAAACTCTCTCTTCCAATGGTGACGATTGGCGAGTGATCATAGGAGACTCACTCGGGAGCACTTGCTGGCCTATCGCAACCGCGACCTGCAACAGCGACCTGACCTATGATTCGCTCAATACACTGAACCATGAGTAGATGTCGTTTTTCCACGACAAAAGCTGATGCCATACTTGCGATGATTCCCAAGCTAAAGGGTGTGCCGATGTAAAAATCGGAGAATTGGCCAGGCATAGGTTTTCTTGCCTTGGCGTGCTTGTAATGCACACACTCAAAACACACACGGGTGGGATTATCCCCGCAGTGCAGCTGGTGGGTGCCCCCACCCGCCACACCTCGAGAAAAGCTTGGACGCCGTGATCACGGGACGCAGAGGAAGTGGCGACGAAGCTTGGAAAAGTGGGTAATGAGGTGGCATCGAAAGTCTTGTTGGTGTAGTGAAAGAAGGGGTATCGGCTGATAACGGCGGTGTGATAACGAGGTTTAGCGCTACGCCCCAACTTTTTTTGTCCTTCCCCCGTATCCTTCTCCCTTTGTTTTTTTCCTCCCACCGTTGTTTTCCCGTGTTTCCCCTTGTATTTTTTCCTCTGTGTCGTTGCTTGTGCAGATCACGCCGGATGAAGGCTTTCCTGGTGGATGGTGGAACGAGGTCATCGAGAGATTCCCGTGGCTCGAACAGTGTCCCTGGCCCAGTAAACCAGCGCAGGCCCTGATTACGTGTATGAAACCCGAGAGCATGGAGGTGATAAAATTGGTGTGGGATTCGGGGGCCTTTCCTAATTTTTTCGAAATGATTGGGTTTAGTGATTTGGCGAGGATGGCGATGGCATGGGATAGCAATAGAGCTTCCTTTCGGGGAGAAGTGGAGAAGTTAGGAACCGAGCTCGAAGCTAGAAAAGAAGAGTATGCTAGGGAATGCGCGCAGCTGACGAAGAGTGCGGCAAGAGCGGAACAGATCTTGCTCAAGGCATGGGGGCTGAGTGACGCGCATTTGAGGAATTTGCTTCCTGCCACGCCCCCCCCGCACCCCCCTCGGGCGCCTCAGGGGCCTGCCCCCCTGCCGCATGCTGCGTGCCAAGCGCTGGATATCAACGATGTGGAGATGGTGGAGATGGAGCAAGCCATTGCGGCCATTTCCGCCACGATGCAGCAAACCCCGCTGAGGCGCATAGCGGCTCCTAGGCCCCTAGCTTACACCGCGCAGCTGAAATATTGTGGTAAGTCAGTGAGCCCTTTCTCTCCCAACGACTTATCCTTCCCTCTGATGAGCTATGTTGACCTGGAGAAATGTGGCCAGACAGCGCCCGTGATGTGGCACAAGGCGATCAAGCAGCCACCATCCTGGATCTCAGGAATCTGAGGAAGGTGCGGAGTGTTGGGCGACCGTACTTAAAGTGCAGCTGCAAGCGCAGCGACGAAGACAGAGACTGTCCAGGGGGACCTCTCTGGGTGGATCACGCCATTTGGCATCTGTTGGCACATCCTGACGTCCTATTCCCCAGCATGTCCTCTACCAAGGTCCGCACGTCGATGTTAGTCCATTACCTAAGAACGACGTGGAAAGATGCGATCATCGGCTGCATCATCTTCATGTTCATCAGAGAGATCATGGTGGACTTCGTCAAAAGCCTCGAAACGAGTGACCAGCTCAATGCGGAGGAAGTCATCAAGGATGAAAGGATGTGGAGGCACCAGCTCCCCTCGGCGATCGGCAGGATCCTGCTTCCCACGAGGATCCCTGCCATACCCAGGAGGGTGACCCCAGCCGTGAGACAAAGGGCCCCGCGTGAGCAGATCCAAGGCCAAGCCAGGATCAACTTTTCGCCCGCCAACAGGAATGCAAATAACGGGGAAGCACCAGCGGTGGCACGGCAACGCGCGGCTCTCATCAACGAGAGAAACATGGCCGCAGCACAAGCACAGCTGCGACAGCGGCAGGACCAGCAGGCGGGGGGTACGCCGCCGCAGGAGCATCAGCAACAGGACCTCGGGGAGGAGGGTAGGCGGAGGCAGGCGCGGAACGATCGCTTGCAGCAGCAGTTCATTGAGGAGGAGAGAGTGGAGCACCAACAGGCAGGGGGAGGAGCAGCTTTGGAACATGTGATGCAGCAGTTACCTACCGCGGCACTACAGGGCGATTCACAACTCACGACAGCGCAGCAGGGGGGCTCGGGATTCAGCACTCCTGTGGCAGCCCGGCCAGGGCAGGCACACATTCCACCTAGGAACGGAAAAAGGAGATCACCGGACGATATTGGGCGTCGACTCGGTTCACTCGCAATATGGGAGGAGACTCAGACCGAGGCTCTCAAGCGGCAGCAGCGCAGCAGTCGGCTCGCCATGAAAAATCAGCAGCGAGCTTCTGTCCTATTCCCGGGCCCCTCTCCCTCGCGTTGATCTTTTCTCTCGCCGGCATTCGTTCTTTTTTCCTTTTTCCCGCCTTTTTCCTTTTCATTTTCTTTCCCCTCTCTCTCTCTCTCTTCTCCCCCCTTTTTTTCCCCTTTCTTTTGCGCAAAAGATGCATCATGAGCAATGGTGTTTTTTCGATCGTGCGTGTCAGCAGGACCCCAGGTATGGAGAGACTGCTGGAGGAGGGCGGATGGTCGTACTACCCACAGGGAGGAGGGTTTGGAGCAAGGAGAAGCGGACGGACCTCACGTTTCTACACATGAAGTATACCAGCTGGGCCATGGAAGCATTCTCCGTGCGAAGCTTGGTGACAGGTGTCCTACGGAGGCTGGCGGGGGACGAGGCTGGAGGATGGTTGGAGGGGGTTGTGTTTGGCTGGACATACGAGAAGCTTGTGGCGGCACATGTATGCGGGCCTAAGGAGGTCTTCAAGGACTTTGACATAGAACACTGGACGGATCACTATGACCCTGCGCAGTGTCACTGCAGGGCGGAGAGATACATGCAATTCCACTCCGAAAAGACCTTGGAGCTTCTCCCTGGCGCCGAACACACACACGTGCTGACTCTGGATGCAGGGATAACGAGCGATTGCAGGCTGCGGGCGATGATCAAGGTCGGGCTCAATCACATTCCGCTCAGGGCCTTTGACGTTGACGAGGCCCTTTTCGAGCTCGGTGGGCTATTGGACAGGCTCATCATGACCTCCCACGACATTGCGAACCTGAGGGAGCATCAGAGGCGGAAGTTCAAGCAGATCGTATTGGACAGGGCCAAGAGCAAGATGAACGGATACATCAGCAGGCACAGGTTCATCTCAGCCGAGCCCATAGATCAGACGAGCACGAGACGGGAGATAGAGTTTCTCACCCAGAGGTTCCTAGTATCCCCCACGGACAAATCCGCCAACACCCCCTCCTTTGTTTGCACTAATTTCATCCACGTGCTTGCACTGCGCAGACTGCTGGGCCCTGACTTTGTCATGCAGCAGGAAGACCCAGAACAGCTCATCTCGGTCATAAAGGGAAGTTTAATACATCTCCCCGCACTACCGTCCTCACACGACACTCTGCCTTACCTAATGACCGTGTACAAAGCCCATAAACAGTCTTTTCGTTGGATCACTAATACAGCCAATACGGTAGTTTCGCCCATGGCGGATCTGTGTGCCTGCCTGCTCCGTTTTCTGATCCCATCAGTCCAGTCCTTCTGTTCGGAGAAAAGCAGGGCGATGGAGGCGGAGTATGATGTAAGGCCCAATTTGTGGTGGCCTATCTCATCGGTGGGGGAGTTCGCGGCAAACCTTCCGCAGTCGGTATACGCTGTCTATACTACGGACATTATGAGATGCTTCGAGACCATCCCCACGGATGACTCGGAGCACAGCTTGCTGACGGCGGTGAGATTCTTCGTGCAGACGGCCATGATCTACCGCAGGGATAGGAGTTCGAGGGACATCATTAAGGTAAGGGTCACGGCGCAAGGGAAGATGATCCCGTCCTGGACTGATGCTCGATTGGAGAACACTACTGAGGAGCTGTTCTTCACCGAGGCCGAGGTCTCCGACATTTCGTGGTGCCTGGATCACAGCCTGGTTCAAGTGGGCGCGTGCGTATGGAAGCAGGTTCTCGGTATCCCTATGGGCGTGGCCTGCTCCCCCATCTGGTGTGATATCTATTTTTTCAAATACGAATATCACGCCATGATGAGGCTACTGACCTCCGACAACAAACACCTGGTCCCTCAGTTTGACAACACATACAGGTATGTGGATGACCTGTGCTCACTCAATAACAACTCCATTCACGATTTCTTCCGAGCGGATTGTGATCAGACCACGGATCCAATCTGGATCTACCCAAGGGAGTTCATAGAGATGAAAGAAACGACCGAGGTCAGGGACGAAGAGAACCAGGGCATAGTGGCCAATTTTCTAAACATGACCCTCTCCGTCTCGTCCACACATCTGGGACACTTCTCCACGATGAAGCATGACGAGAAGAAAGGATTAAACTTCTCTCCCACCAGATTCATGGAGTTTAATTCCAATCGCAGCATTGCACAATCATTGCAAATCATCACTGTGCAAGTGGTCCTAAGGGCAGTGGTTGGTGCCCACCTCAGGGTATCAGTTGTCGGGCAGTCGTTGATGCTTAACCACAGCCGGGGTTAAGGTGGATTATCACTTACAGTGTAATCAGTTAGGGGATTCTGCAGACTGTTGAGGGTTCAGCCTCCTGATGAGTCGGTGAAACTCCGACGAAACAGTTTGCCACAGCCCCTCGTTTGTTGTTCTCTTCTCCCTCTCTGCCTACGGTTTACCGGGCAGCTCTGTTTGACTATATATATATATATATATAGGACAACAAACGAGGGGCTATGGCAAACTGTTTCGTCGGAGTTTCACCGACTCATCAGGAGGCTGAACCCTCAACAGTCTGCAGTGTATATATGAAACTTTGACGAAACAGTTTGTCACAACCCCTCGTTTGTTGTCCTCTTCTCTCTCTCTGCCTACGGTTTACCGGGCAGTTCTGTTTGTGACGATATATATCCTGATGAGTCGGCGAAACTCCGACGAAACAGTTTGTCACAGCCCCTCGTTTGTCGTCCTCTTCATCGGAAGGTTTAGCCTCCTGATGAGTTGGTGAAACTCCTCCGAAACAGTTTGTCACAGCCCCTCGTTTGTTGTCCTCTTCTCCCTCTCTGCCTATGGTGTACCGAGCATGAAATGGTTTCACCCAGTAGACCCGACATTTGCAGACACTGAGATTCGATCCCTAGACCTGTGCCCAAGCCCTGCACATTGACATTATGTGCTGAGTGAGATTCGATCCCTAGACCTACCCTGTACCCTGTACATAGGCTCAGCGATCTGTGTGAGAGTCGATCCCTAGGTTTGTAGGTTAGGATTTGAGTCTGTTACCAGCAGGCCTAAAAAGAGTATGTTCTAGAAGTCTCTACCTAAGTCTACTGTGGGCCTACAGTTTGCCTGTCAGCAGGCACCAGGAGTAGGGGCTGCACGTGGGGAAAGGGAAAGGCCCACGCGTTCCGGAGAAGTCTCCAGAATACACGTTTTGGGGCCTGCACCATGTGGTCTGGGTCGAGAGGCCCATGCGTTTTGGCCCAAAGGCCTACGCGGTTTGGAAGCCTCTGGAACCGGGCGTCACGTAGTTTGGCCCAGGCCACGCGATTTTGAGGCAGGATCGGGTACCTCCGAAGAAGTATAAATAAAGAGGCAGCGTCCAGCCATTCATTCATTCGCCTGTGAGCCATGCGGAAGAGCTGCCTTGGTATCTTGTGTGTGGAGGTCTACTGGTGCCTGGAGAGGACAGTGGTCATAGCTGGCCAGTGAGGAAGACACTGGCAGCCATAGCTAGAGGGAGGAGGATGATGGCGGCCATAGCCGCCCAGCGGCTGACACAGACGGAGTGTAGAGAGCGTGTGTGCCTGTGTTGCGTGGACCTTCAGGGTGATCCTCGAACGTGCGGACATGAGGGAGAGTGGGGCTGGTGGTTGAGACAGTGTTCAGCGGCCATAGCCGCAAGTTGTACAGTTGTATTAAACAAAGTTTGAGTGCAAGTTTATTGTTGATTCTGAGTTGACGAGTTTGGTTGGTCATTAGTTTTTGTGTATGCATGCTGAAAGGAAGTCCGAAGTCGAGTATGATGGCATTGGTATCGGAGCTGGTTCCCGTTGTTCACGTTGGAGCTGCAGCGAGTTGGAGGTGAGAGAAGCCGCCATAGCCAGAGTACAACAGAGTGAGAGAAACAGATAGATAGATAGATAGATAGAGAGAGAGAGAGAGAGAGAGAGAGAGAGAGAGAGAGAGAGAGAGAGAGAGAGAGAGAGAGAGAGAGATGGAGGCAACAAGGGGACGGCAGCCATAGCTGCCAAGCTCGGGGAGGAAGACGACGAACAGGAAGAGGAGAAAGAAGAGACACATAGAGAAAGAAGGAAGTTGACAAAGAGGGAGGTGAAGTCGGCCATAGCCAAGGTGAAGAAGACAACGAGAGTGACTAAGAAGAAGGTCCACCATAGCCGGAAGGTTGGAGGGTTGACCAGGGAAGTTGACCAATGTTGACCAGAGGTTGACTAAGACTGTTGACCAGCGTTGACCGGAAGTTGACTAAGGGTGTTGACCAAAGTTGACCGGAGCTGACCAAGAGTGTTGACTGGCGAGTTGACCAAGACCATTGACCAGAGTATCGACCAAGTTGGAGCAAGAAGACGAACGGCACCATCCTTCCAAGCCCTGGCCTAGCCCTTACCCCATGGATGTGCACCTTCACCCTGGTACTTGCTGACGTTGAGTTTGTGAGAGTCAGTCAGTCATATCTCCCTGTCACTTTTGTCCAGGTTCATAGGACTTTGTGGATGTGGTTGTAGAGCCGTGAGTCTAACCCGAGTAGTGAGTAGAAGTCCCCTAGATATAAGTCAACCTGGTGGGTTTACGTGTTGAGGCGCGGAATCATTGTTGATTGTGCACTTTCACCATGGTGACCCTCAGGTCCGGAACTAGCACCACCCCTTACAGCAAGGAGCAAGAAGAGAGTTGCCGCCCTTCTGCGAGAGAGGAAGGAGAAGATGGAGAAGAGGGAGTTGATCAAGCAGGTGAAGATGTTGGTTCTGCTAGAGGAGCAAGAGGCGAAGAAGAAGCATATGGAAGAAGAAATGGAAAGGTGGAAGGAGCAGGAGGAGAAGATGGCAGCAATAGAGGCTGAAGTAGAGAAAGAAGTGGAGGTCAAAGCAGAGGAGCCGTTGGAAAGAAATATGGGCTAGGCGAGTACGAGTGGGACCTCCTAAGAGGAGGTAGATAAGAAGATTGAAGAATGGGTAGCACATGTGGAACTGGGGGAAGATAGAGAAATCGAGTTGATAATAACCCCGAAAGAGAGGGAAGTGGTGATAAGAGAGTTGGAAGAGCTAAAGAGCAAGAAAAACAGGCAGCGTGGAGATGCACCTAAACCAAGAAAGAGGCAGACGGCTGGAAGCGGCAGAAAGGACAGAAAGGGACCTAAGAGCGGTAGAGATTAGAATGGGGAAAATCGGGGATAACGAAACTCGATAACCTGATTCATAGTGTAGAATCAATGCTAGTCGCGCAATGAGAGCAAATGCAGCATGTTCGCAGCCATGATATCGCGTTAGAGTCGATACGCGTTGGATTTAAAGATTTTGCATGCGACATGATGAAGTACCTGGTGGACCAGGTCCACCTCGCAATTAGTAACACCAAGGAATTTTGCACTGGCGCCATTGAAGGCGCCAAGTTAGCGGCTGCTAAGGAAGAGGAGCCGGCCTCACCACGTCGTGAGAAAGTTGAGGTCCGCTTCCCCAAACCCTTCAGTGGAAAGAAGGGGGAGGATTCGATAACGGGGAGGTCAACATGCACTCCTATCTGTACTTGCAGGGAGTCACGCCTAAGGATCACGTTTTGGTGGCCTTCTAGGCCATTCGAGACGAGGCGAACAGCTTTGCTAGGTCGCTAGCCCGCGCTGCGAACTGTGACAATGATATGATCACCTATTCTAGATTGACGCCCCTCTCTAAGTTCCTGAAATCGCTTAGGGAGCAATTTTTTGATGTGACACGGGCAGTTAAAGCCTCTGATAAGCTCCAAATGATACAAACGTGCCAGTGGAAGGGTGTCCGCGATGGACGAGTTGATTGTTGTTCTTGGGCATGTAGGGACCGATGCCCAACTAGTTAACCTCTTCTATCGTGCCCTGCCTTAGAATATTCAGGGACATTTCTTCGAGAAGAAGAATCAGCAGGGTATGACTTACGATGTTCTTAGCAGGGAGGCAGTCTCATTCGCCGCCCAAGCATCGCCAGTTACCACGTTTTGGCACAAGGATTTGTCTAAAGGAAAAACGTGGAAGGGCCGCACCATCTCCGACCAAATTAAGGCCAAAGATAGTTTGATACTAACAATGGAGGGAAGTGGTGCAGACGAGGTTCCCTACTCTGACATTGAGTGGGGACTAAAGGAGGAGGACAATAGCGCTGGTTAGGGGAGAAACTACGCTGCTGTCGCGGCCGGAGGGAGGCCGCAGGGAGGAGGACAAGGGTCTGGTCAGAATGGTCGGGCCCCAAGTGGTCGAGGACATGGCGGCCAGGGGGTTGGTGGCAATGGAAACCGCCAAGCGGGAGGACGGGGAGGTCCCCCGTCTAACCATCCGCGTTCTCGTCGGTCACCCCCTAGACAGGGATGGTGGCACCCAGGCCGGCCTGAGGGTCGACCCTGGGAAGATCTGGTATTGAAAAGGGCGTATGGCAAGAACGCATTAATAGGTCTCAGTGCGTGTTCTGCGAGGGCCCATTCCACATTATGAAGTTTTGTCCTAAATATAGGGACCGTGCTGCGTCTAGGGCAGCAAAAGACAGTCGCCGGTAGGGGTTGCAACTGCCCCTACCCCAGGAATATGTGGACCTGAGAGTGCGCGCAAAGTAGAGTCTCCCACTCCACATATCTCCATGGCAGAGGTTGCAGGCCAGCGTCGAGTAGGCTATCTAGAGGCTGCTTGTGTTGGGGTCTCTCTAGACGCTTCCCTCACAGGCTTAGCTGAAGAGTTGAGAGAGAGGAGGGAAACCTGGGCCAAGATGAAGAAGGATGGGAAAGGACAACTTATCCTCACAAACGTAGAGATTTTTAGAGCTAGAGTAGGAGCCCTGATAGACAGTGGGGCAACTAGAAGTTACGTTAATCGTAACGCGCTGAAAAAGTTGAAGCTCAATCTGAAAGTCCAGTGATTAGCAGAACCTGTAATCAGCATCCTTGCAGACAACAATAGGATGCATGTTGATGAGTATATTGAGGGGGTTCACGCCTACTTTTGCCTAGAGAAAGAAGGGAAGGTAGAGAAGGTATCGCATTCTTTGAGCCTCCTCGTAGAAGAGAACCTCCCGTTTGACATTGTATTAGGCACGGACTGGGGAGAGGCAGTAGGAGCCACATTGCACCTTAGAGAGCACGAGTGCAGGCTCCCTAGTGCATCAGGCGAAATCAAGCAAGTCCGCTTGTACAATGAGTCTGGGGTATATAACCCCCTTGCCCATTGCTGCCTCAGCGCTCTTGCATTCGCCAGACTTGTGCAAAAGGAGCAGCTTGAAGAGCAGGTGTTCATAGCCTACGTAAGGCCAGTGTATGATAAGCCCAACGAGGAAGAGAAGATCCATCCTACCATTGCCAGTTTGCTAGAAGAGTACAAAGATTTGTCTGCAGCACCTTCAGAAGTCGTGCCAAAACCAGTCCAGCACCGTAGAGAGATAGAGTCTGGCAGTGGGACTCCCAAAGGGGAAGTCTACAGGATGTCTCCCAAGGAGCTAGAGGAACTTCGTTGACAATTAGACGAGCTCCTAGAGAAAGGATGGATAAGGCCTAGTTCGTCACCATTTGGCGCACCTGTTTTGTTTGTCCCAAAGAAGGAGGGAGAACTACGCATGTGTATAGACTATAGGGGACTGAACACCATTACGATCAAGAATTTAGAGTTGCTGCCTCGCATAGATGACTTGTTAGACCGAGTCCAGGGCTGCAAGTATTTCTCAAAGATAGATATGAAGTCAGGTTACCATCAGATGGAGGTCCACCCTGACGATCAGTATAAGACAACGTTCAGGACGAGGTATGGGCATTACGAGTTCATAGTGGTGCTGTTTGGACTAACTAATGCACCGACCACATTTAAGCGTTGCATGAACGACTTGTTTAGGCCGTGGTTAGATAGGTATGTCATAGTTTATTTAGACGATATCCTAGTGTTCAGCAAGACCCCCGAGGAGCATGAGGGCCATCTGTGGTAGATCTTAGGCAAGCTAGGAAAGTCTAACTTCAAGATTAACCCGAAGAAGTGCGAATGGGCCAAGACATAGGTCCTTTACCTAGGCCATGTACTAGACGAAGACAACATTCAGCCTGAGGACAGTAACATAGCATCCATTAGAGATTGCCAGACTCCTCGGACGCTGACAGAGCTCCGCTCGTTCCTTGGATTGGCTAACTATTATAGGAAGTTCGTAAGGAACTTCTCCACAATTGCTGCTCCCCTTCGTAGACTACTGGAGAAACAGACAATTTGGAAGTGGGACCCGTCAACCTTCAAGAAATTAAAGAAGAACTTAATAGAGTACGCTGTCCTCAAAGTTGTTGATCCGTCACCGCCATTTGTTGTCACCACAGACATTGGTCAGTATGGCATAGGCGTTGTTTTACAGCAAGATGACGACAATGGTTATAGACCCGTAGAGTTCATGTCAGCCAGGCTGCCCTCGGAAAAGGTAGCAGCATCGACATACGAGAGGGAACTCTACGCTCTCAGGTAGATCACTAGAAGCACTATTTGCTTAGGAGGCACTTCAAGGTTTACTTAGATCACGAGACTCTTAGATGGCTAAAGATGCAAGCCAAGATGACGCCCAAGTTAACTAGATCGGCTGCTGAGATAGACCAATTTGACTTCGAGTTGAAGCCCGTAAAAGGAAAGTGTAATGTGGTAGCCGACGCTTTGAGCAGAAAGTGAGAGATGCTTATGCACAAGACCCAATCTATAGTGAGCTGTTGAAAAGGGTGAAGGAAGCCCCAGATAGTGAACCACATTACCGAACCACGAATGGGTTATTATTCGAGAAGACCAATGTCGCTGACAGACTATGTGTCCCCAACAGTGAAGAGATCCGTAGCCTGATCTTGGGGGAATGCCACGATTCAGAAGGACACTTATCATGGCAGAAGACCTTAGCTAACCTGACGATGTCATACACGTGGCTAGGAATGAAAGCGGACTGCATAGAATATGTGGCAGCTGCTACAAGGTGTGTCACATTAATAAAACTACAACGAGAGCCCCTCTAGGTCTGCTTAGACCCTTGCCTATTCCATCAGGACCCGGAGAATCAGTTTCCATCGACTTCATGGATACTCGGGTCAGAAGTAGGCACGACAAAACTCAAGTCATGGTCATAGGCGACAAATTTAGTGAGTATGAAGTATTTGTTCCCCTGCCTTCGGAGGCACGTACAGACTTAGTTATAAGCAAGTTTTTCGACTACTGGGTAAGCGAGCACGATTTACTGTGTCTATAGTCAGTGATAGAGACACACAATTTACCAGTCAGAATTGGGAAGATCTTATGAAAGTATACGGATCCAAGCTATTGATGTCATTCGGTCGTCACCCAGACGGCCAGACAGAGCAAATGAACAAGATCTTACGACAGCTACGCAGGATGTATATTAGACCAGATCAGGTAAACTGGGATGAGATGCTCCCCAAAGTAGCAAGCGCTTATAATAACAGTGTTCATTTGGCAACTTGCAGGACTCCTAATGAGTTATGTAAGTCCTTTGGACCTAGGCGACCGTTTGAAGGACTAAATCGGGACCAGATCCAGAGACTACCACCCGACATTCGAGAGTTTGCGTTACAGCACGAGCAAGAAGTCGCTAAGGTCATTGGCAATTTTTGGAAAGCCCAACACCGGATGATAGAGCAAGCCAACAAGCACCGCCGACCTTCACAATTTCAGGTAGGCTATCTAGTCTGGGTCAAATCAAAGGAGTTCGCACCAGAGGAAAACATCTCGCAGAAGCCATTACCTATGTATAGAGGACCATGGCCTGTCCTAGAAGTCAGAGGAGGAGAGGACGACCCGTCATATACGATAGAGATTCCACCACACCTCCACACGTACCCAGTCTTCCATGCATCCAAGTTGTTGCCTTGCACCACGTCCGACAGATTCCCTTCCAGGAGATC